TATCCAAAAGCCTGTCCTAGGCTAAGAACTGAAGACCTGAGCCTGTCTTACTTCAAAAACATTGCAGAGATTTTTATAGCAAATTATAAGATAGGCTCTGTGTATGGTGTTCGCTTACATCCCAAAGTTCGACTGAATCAGGATACTTTTTACATCATTATGAATTAACGCTCCAACCAATTGTTATGAAATTACAACACTAGTATAATATTGTAATGTTTACTAAACCTTAGTGGCATTTATGGAGGAAGAAATGACATGATTGCAAAATTATAACATAAATTCACTTGTGTTGACCTCTCAAACGTTACATTAACCACGCCGAAATATAAAATGTGGTGCTCCAAGCAACTTATAGCCAAACTTTGTCTGGTTTTTTACCCAGTATGACTTGCACATGAAACAAACACTTGTTTTCCATTTTTTCCAGCAGTTTACAAAAATTTTAGACATGTTATCAGCATGAAAAATGATAACTTACCATTGTCCAAGATGGCGAACACAAAAACGAATGCTTGCTTCAAAATCCTTTGTGCTGGATACTCTTTACCTGTTGCAAGAAAATGTTTTTTCAAGATGCACAATAACCAAAGAATATTTTTGTATAAGCACCGTACAAAATGAGTGTTTTTTACTCTGCCTGAATGGCATGTCCAAGGCAGCCATCCCAAGAAGTAATACAGTGCACTCACAGTGCACTGGGCTCGGTGTGTTAGTGCACCAAAGTGCAATGTTATTAGTATTTCAGTGCATTAGTGCACCGAATACTAATAACAAGTGCACCTGGTGCACTTTAAAATACTGTTAACAGTGCACTGTTTCGATGCATTAGTGCCCAGGTTTCAATGATGTGGTTTATCGACTGCTCTGTTACATGTAAAAGTGTACAATTGGAAATGTTGATGAAAATAACACTTAATTTAGGAATGCTTTTTTGAAACCAAACTCAGTGATACCGGTGCAGCCTGAAACATCTAATATGGGGAGTGTTTTGCAGATTCTCAAAACTCCCACGATTTGGTTATCATTTATTCTGGATTCACAAACATTGAGCTCAAGAAAATTTATGAATGTTGCCGTGACGTTAAAATTCAGCTGTTAGTTCTAGTTTTCACTGAGTTTTGCAATGTTCAGAATTCGCAAACTTCTCCAGTGGTTTCTCCTGTTATGGTTATTGACATATTCCCAAGATATGCTGTAACAGTTTTCACTAAATCAAGTAATTTGATGTCTGCTGTGTGAACCCAGGTAACTCTTCTCACTACATTCTTCAGCTGTGTGAAGGTAAGACATTCATGCAATCAAATTGACTCCAAATTTTCACTGGGAGCCTTTCTCAGAATCGACAGAGCTTCAGAAATCCTGTTCCACTTTTTTGGAAATGAGAGAGATGGTTCTTCAAATGAGATGAAACGAAATAAAACTAAAAATGCATAAAATAACGTCTTCGGGAAGCTGATTTTAATCAGAAACAACATTGTCCAAAATTTAAAAACAAAACACGATGTGACTAACATTCTAGTGACTGCAGAGAATAAGTGCACTAGTGTATTGAATTTGGTGCACCTGTGCACCCAATTTGGTGCACTAGTGCATCGCGGTGCACAGTGCACCAAAACAGTGCACTTGGCCTATGTAGTGCTTTTGGGAAGCAACACTGTACACATAGCGGATAAATGGCTTTGATCCTGATTACCCAGATGTTACTTGGGCATAATATCATAGTGCAGTTTTCAGTCATGATTAACAGTTAAGATTGTGTTACTTTTTCTGATAATTTCTTTTTCTTTCTTATTATTCAATTAAGTGGAATAGCTTGTAAGGTTCTTCTGTTCCCTACTAGTCCTTCCCCACTGCTATCTTGTGTCTGGTTTTTAAAATTGTGTACAGTGAAAATGGATTAAATCTTAAGCCACAAGATTTTCCAAGCCAGACATGTGCTTTAAGTATGGGATGCAAAGCTTGTCACCAGCCTTTCTTGATCCTTTAATGTTTTAATCAATATGATCCTAGAACAGTTAAAACTATACTACAATTGGCGGCAAAATTGTTGAGACATTGTACTCAAATAGGGTAACTTTCGAGAACAAAAGAATCTGCACCCCTCCCCTGTCCCCTCCAGTCAAAGTTGGGGTGTTTGTTGTTTTCTATAGGTAGCTCGAACATCAGTACAACATTGCACGGAGGGGATGGGGGAGGAAAGCTATATTTCCTCCTCTTGAAGTTAATAAAACATAAAAGAGCCCAGTTTTGGATGTCTCAACTCATTTTGTCACCAATTGTCTGAATCGAAATCTACGCACTAGTTGAGATTACTATATTCACCGGGTCGTTTTTCAGAAGACAGATAAGATACCCATATAATCGCTTTGCTGTGTTTTTCGAGGGAAAATTAGTTTTGCCAATCTTTGTACTCGGTAGTGTTTTCAAGTAATTACGCAGCATGCCCAAGTACCAAATGATTGATTTTCCTCTGGTAACTAAGTGTGATCGTTAGGAATCAATGGCAGACAAGTTATTGTATTTGAATATGTCCCTAGTAAGTTCGAAGTGTTTATTCGAAGTTTGGCTATTTGATAAGGGTGGAATGGACGATAGTGGGATGGACGATAAAATAGCCATGATTGCTATGCCCAGGAGAATTTTCAGGGAAAATGTTCCAACTTCTAATGCACAGCAAAGCTGCATAGCATCACTAAATGTGTGCAGTAGATTCGTTGCCCATATACCCATAAGGATCTTTGAAGAATGTACTTTACAGTAGAGACTATGAGGTCAGGAGGAGAACTGGCCACGAGTAACTACGAGTAACTAACTTTGTTCTTAAAAGATAATCTGATTATTTTATTTTATAGTCATCATGGTTACTCGTGAAATTCCTCCTAAAGAGTAATTTTAGCCATTATAACTACTTTAATACCTAGAAATCTATTAAGTTTTCTATTTTTTTCACTTTGTTCTTTGTTTTGATTCGTTTTGATAAAGGAGAGAATAAGAAATCATGCGCGACGTGCCACATCACACAATGTCAAGGCACAGTTAAGCGTGACACGAAATGTCACACACTGAAAATAACGAAATTGCCTTATTCTAATTGTTGTAAAGTAGGTATGATGAAGTCAAACATAGCAAATAAAAAGCCACCAGGGGTCTTACATCCCAACATAAAGAAATGAATTCAATTAATTTTCTTAAGGACATATGCCACTTTTGCGATTCAGACAATAGGTGACAAAATTGTTGAGACAATGTACTCAAATAGGGTAACTTTGGAGAACAAAAGAATCCGCACCCCTCCCTTGTTCTCCTCCAGTCAAAGTTGGGGTGTTTGTTGTGGGTAGCTAGAACATGGGCACAGCATTGCACAGAGGGAATGGGGGAGGAAAGCTATATTTCCTCCTTTTAAAGTAAATAAAACGTAAAAAAGCCCAGTTTTGGGCGAAGTGTCTCAACTCATTTTGTCGTCGATTGTAGCGTCTAGGAGTTAATGTTTAAAAATATGTGCATGTACACTAGAGATGAAATTTTTGCCAAAACAATGAAAAATTCAACTTGCTTTTGACAATTGTTTTGACATAAATGTGAGGGAACTTGATGTTAATTTAAAAAAAAATGATGCATGAATAAAGATATGAATAAAACAAATAAAAATCAAATAAAAATGTGGGGAATATGTTGCTTAGATGATCACAAATTAAAAGCCTTCTTGAAAAGATAGTTTTAAACTAAACATTTAAATTCATGTAAGACTTCCACAGCATCTTGGTTTATTTTCTAAGGTAACTGGTTTTGTACACGTAGTCGGTTCAGGTGGTTCTTAACTTATAGGCCATAGTAATGAGACAATTACTATCAGAAGATTTAAGATTCAGAGCTCGGCAGGGGTTTTACTATGCATCGACAACCGGCAAAACCAGTCGGCTACTTTGCTTGCAGAAGTTGGCTACTTCCCACTCCCCCTTGTAGTTAAAGCTGAGAATGAAGTATTAAAAGAATGATTCTAACAAAACTAAAAAAGATACTTTTTACCGTTATTTAAACTCATTATTGATCAGCATCAAAAATAAAAAACTTTATAAAAATATGACTATATCTTTCTCTTACTAAATTTAGTGCCTGGAACACTGAAAATTGCATTTTATGGCATCCAAAGATATAAAAATATTGTGGGGGAGTCTGCCCGTACACTTCCCTCAAAAGAGGAGGGGGGCTGACAGTCCTTTTTTTGATTCGGTCAGTTACTCTATTAAGGTGGCCCGCACCTATTTATATGCACGTCGGTTATGTTTTTGAATCGTGTTTTTCTATGATTTTTGGCATCCTTAGTAAAGAATGGTCGAACTTTAAGAAAATATTACTTATTTTCTTTTAGGTATAAAAACGTTTGAGATATTGGCATATGTTTAAAACCCCATTTTTACAAAAAATTATTTGCTGAAGTTAGAAAAAAATCTGGCTTAGGGTTTCAAAATTATTGACATTTCTTGTTAAAATGCGGTTTTAAACATATGCCGATATCTCACACATTTTTATACCTACAAGAAAATAAATAACAGTGTTTTAAAGTTTTTTTAAAGTTTTTTTATTTACTTGCAATGTATAGGTCGATATAGGGGATTTGAAAGATTACTTTACCCTGGAGTTGGGGGAAATGAGGGAGGTTTGGTTTGCAACAACCTTGCACCACAGGGAAAAACCGGGGGCTTTGTAGAATGAAATGAGGTTGATTGGAAACATAGACCACTTGTCCAGAAGATCGCGGGCTTATCTCTCTCCTTGTGGTGGACCACTTCTATTAAGGAAACACTTTATTGTACATTGAAGAATAGATAGTTTATTTTGGATTCTTTTCTATATTTATCTCCTGGCATTGCCTCTGTAATTTTTTTTTTACTTAAAGTAGTTTAATGAGTAAGTTATTATTTGGTGAGTTATTCATAAGGTAATAATAATGTTTTTTTATGTTGTGTCCAAAAGGTATAAAGAAGAAGCTCTGCTGCATGTCTTTACAGTGCAAGAAGTGTGACAAGTGTTTTAGTACAGGAGTACAGCTAAAACATCATGAAAGAGTTCACACTGAAGAAAAGCCTCATGAATGTAAACAGTGTGGCAAGTGTTTTAGTGTAGTAGGAAACCTAAGGAGGCATGAAAGAGTTCACACTGGGGAAAAGCCTTATGACTGTAAACAGTGTGGCAAGTGTTTTAGTCAGGTAGGACACCTAAAGCGTCATGAAAGAGTTCACACTGGGGAAAAGGCTTATGAATGTAAACAGTGTGGCAAGTGTTTTAGTGAAGCAGGACACCTAAGGAGGCATGATAGAGTTCACACTGGGCAAAAACCTTATGAATGTAAACAGTGTGGCAAGTGCATTAGTGTAGTAGGAACCCTAAGGAGGCATGAAAGAGTTCACACTGGGGAAAAGCCTTATGAATGTAAACAGTGTGGCAAGTGTTTTAGCCAAGCAAGAAAACTAAGGAGTCATGAAAGAATTCACACCAGGGAAAAGCCGTGTTTTAGCCGCCCACAGAACCTTAAAGGTCACAATAAAGTCCACAGTAGAAAGCAGTCGCATAAACTTAATAGTAACGAAAGTTTTTCTAAAGGTTTGCCTTGCGAGGCTAATGTGAGGTTAAGAATTACAAATGCCTTACCTACACAGAGACAGAGAGAGACTGGAGACAATAGGATAGAAGACCAGCGAACAGACGTTATTGAGAAACACTGCAGCTGTTGGATTTGTCAAGAGGAGATGAGTAGTGAAGCTCTTCTTCTTCAACATTATGAAAATCATATGAGATATGTAACTGAAGATGGTTCGTAAACAGGGCTTTAGGCCTTGGGGTACCCTTTGCAGGGTGCAAAGAGAGTCTTTTTTAAAGCTTGCCATTCGGGCAAGCTGAAGTTAGCATATACTAGCCCAAGCGTCATTTCAGCTAGCCCCAAAACATTTTGATGAGCAGAATTTATTTCAAAGTTCCTCTGTAATTTGAATTCCTCAAAAAAGTTAAGAGCAAAATTAACTAGCCCGATAGCAAAATCCACTAACCCTGGCCTATCGGACACTACTTTCTTTGCACGCTGCCTTTTGTTAAGTTTGTTTTTGTAAAGTTTTCTATTTTGAATGCAAGCACGGCTACCTTTTGTTACCTGTGGTCAGTGGGCTTTGTTAAAAAGTTGGTTAATTGTGTTTCCGTTAGACGACTTTATAAACGAAGTAGACATTGCGATTTTTGACGGTGGACACCAATTCTTAGGCATTCCTGTTGTACTTGTAATTTTAATTGTACAGTCTCCGGTTGTTTAAACGTTGGATGCTACCCATGAGATAGATCACTTTTCATCGGAAAAGTATAACATGGAAATAACCCAATAATTAGTTTATTGTGTTATTCCCTGGCAAGGGGTTTATCCAATGAGTTTAAGCAACTAGGGCCCAGTCATTAACATAGATTTGTAACTCTCCAGTTTTATCGACCAGAGGATTGCCAGTCCATCACCTTTCCTAACGAGTGAGAAATATTGAATTTACATGAAATCACGTCTGTGCGCTCAATATAAGCTTTGCTTTTTCCAAAGAGTTGTGGTTTCTTACACTTGCTTTATGATCTCCGAAGTAGGAGCCCTTTTTCTACTTTTTCGTCAAATGTGATAAACCTTTTAACACGTCAAAAGAGTGGTAGTTGCTGTCAAGTATGGCTTAGACCTACACAAAGTTCTATTTGACACTCGTGAACCTTTTGTTTTGTGTTAGGTTACGTGACTTGCGTGTACTCAGCCTGAGAATTCAATTAGGAATTTGTCGTTTGTTTTTTCATAAATAATGAATACTTATGCATAAGTGGATTGGATGACAATTGAATAGCCTGCAGTGCGGGCGTTTTCTTTGGGCGCGCGAATTTTTTTTCCTCGTTGAAACTCCCGAAGAGAGGAGGAAATGGGGCGAGTCAAAGGGAGCGGGGAGGGGGCAGGGAGAGAGGAGAGAAGAAGAAGAAGAGTATTTTTTCTCCCCTCCTCCCTTTCCTTCTTTCGCCCTCGCACCTACCCAAAGAGGTACTATTTCTACTCTCCCCGATCTCCCTCTGTCATAAAATCAAAGATGGCGGCTACAACAATATTTTTTAAATTTAAATTTTAAATTTTATTATTTTACATTTGCCACACATAATAAATATTACAGAAAGAAAATGAAAAAAAAAAAAAAGATTGCACAATTTATAGGGCAGTGAAAGCTACAAAAAGAGAGTTCAAAATTAAATGTAATATTAAGTGACTTACTTTAGTAATAGATAGAGTGGAGAGGAAGCTCAATAGAAGCCAAATAGCTTGTAGAAAATTTGGGCTCCTCATACTTAATTATGATTTCATGTAAGCTGCCATATCATGGTCAGGCGAGTTTTATTTATAGCTCTCTCGATGAGGTATTTTTTTAGTGAAGTCTTGAAACTAGAGTAACTTGTGAGTTCCGTAAGATTATGGGGAAGGGAGTTCCATAGTTTAGGTCCTAGATGGAGGATTGTGAACTGTTTAGTAATAAGGTCGGTAGTTATTAGCATTTCGAGTATTATATGCGTGTACTTAGCAATTAGTAACAAAGGTGGTGTTAAACGAATGAGGAAGGATGTTATTATGATATGAGTACATAAAACACGCAACAAAGAACGCATTCATGTTAAAAATGTCAAGGATTGTAGGAGTCCGAGTGCAGTATGGGTTAGATATTCAGCTCCACAAATGATTCAGACGATGCGTTTCTGTAGGTAGAGAATCCTATTCAAATTGGATGGATATGTTGAACACCATGCAATGTTACAGTAGTTAAGATACGGGTAAACCAATGTATAGTATAAGGATAACAAAGATTTAGAAGAAAGAAAGAAACGAGCTTTGCTTATGATTCCTATAGCCTTTGATACTTTGTTAGCAACATGAGTTATATGATATTTCCAAGAAAGATGCTGATCTAATAAAACACCAAGAAACTTTGTCACTTCAACCTGTTTCACAGCAATATTATCTAGCGTAATAGTATCGCTAACAGTAACGGGTTTTTGCCTGGGTCGAAAAAGAATGTAGTTTGTTTTGGCGACATTGGTCGATAATTTGTTTACTTTAAGCCATTTAGATATTGTTGATAATTCACAATTCATGACATGAATGAGCTGGTTAGGACCTTTATCAGAATAATAAAGGCTAGAATCGTCCGCAAATAAAAAAGTCTTTAACAGATTAGATGCGTTAGAGAGGTCATTAATATAAATAAACAAAAGTGGTCCTAAAATTGATCCTTGGGGAATACCACATACAATTAGTTCCGGTTGAGAACATGCTAAAGTAAACTGAACAAGCTGCTTCCTGTTTGTCAAATAGCTAGAGACCCGATTAAAAGAATGCCCTCCAATACCGTAGTGATCGAGCTTATTGAGCAAAATATGATCATCAATAGTGTCAAAAGCTTTCGACTCTCTATTATTCATGGCAGAAACAATATTATTAACCAACTGAAAAAGAACGTGAACAAGGTTTCGCCCACGCAAAATACGCCTGCACTGCAGGGTAATAATTGAAAGAAACAGTTCTCTTTGGAAAATCACATGGTCTGAAATAAGAAAACAAAACATGCAAGCAAGAACTAAAAAGGTTTATTGATAAGATGAATGGTTTAAGAGACGAGGGCAACGATCAGAGATGACCACATGATTTGCTTTTTACGCCATGATTTGCGTTACTGGTTTTTCCGATTGCCATTCTGAAAGTGAAGAGGGTGTTTTTCACGTTCATGGAAAAAAGGTGTTTTTCCATCGTTATAGCCTGCGTAGCTGGCGAGATTAGCTGGCGAGTGCTGTAGTTTTTTTTTGGCGTTCGATTAGCGTGTAGATTGGGAGACATTTTCTCTTGCGGCTTCGTGTGGCGGCGCCAGGAAAGTACCGGCACAAGAATCCCGTCAGCTACGCAGGCTACCATCGCTAGGAATCACGGTGGTGGAAAAAACACTGACCCCAAAATTTGTCCCACATGGACTACCCTAAAATGGACTCCGCCGCTGAAGTTTAGTGATTGGGTTTAGGAAGCCGAGTGAATCAGGTTCCATTTAGGGTCATTATACTAAGAAAAGTGACCTGAAAATTGATTCTCACAGTTTACTAACCCTTATCACTATTATCCAGCAGCGTATTCCCTTTTAGGGTAGAATATGGGCAGTCCATTGGGATAGTCCATCGACTCGGGGTCAGTGCTTTGTCAACCACCAAGAATCACCGTCTTCTCCAATGACAATATAATGCACTTACGGTTCGTGTCAAAGTAGAGATGAGGCAAATTAGTTTTCAAATATGGCTTAGATATTTTGTCTTACTACTTCACGCTTGCTTCCCTACTTGTTGCATTCAACATTTTCTGACAGCTTTGACCCGATTCATAGGTGTAAGTTTAGTTCTACTCATTTTTTCGCGACCAGTAAAATAATTAGGAAGGAGTTGCTTTATGATTGCATAAATCTGGGCCGGCTACAATGGTTCTTCTAAACCACTCCTTTGCCTTTCCCCTGGCTTTATCCAAGATCAACATTAAATGATCTAACGTGAAACGTTGGTCAAAGGTATTTAGAACTCGGGCTGTAATTTCCATTACTTTCTTTTCTAAAAAGGCATTTCGCGTTTCAAAACAATTTTTGGGGGGAATCCTTTCGAGTAGCCTGCGTAGCGTGGCGGTTTTGGTTGGGTGTGTAAGGTAATAAAGGCGTGCGAAGGCAGAGAAATCTCAGTAGTGCGTCCGACAAAACTGCCATGCTACTCAGGCTACCTTTCGAGATACACTGAACTCTCGTAAGCGACCACCCAGTCCCTTACTGATCGGCAAAGTGGTCCCTTACGGGAGGTGTTCGTCTACGGGAAAATCAAGAAAATAAACTCAAACTGAACTGATTAACATAATTACGTAAAGTCATTACCGCACCTTACAAGCGAAAATTAGACATGGATAATCTGGCAATTAATAAGGCCTTCACATCGAATAGGCCTTGGAATTGTTGACACTCTGTACATTACACTTTTTTACTCACAGATCGTATTACAGCCATTTATTCTGTAAGTCAGCTACTATAAACTGGCAGCACGCTTGGACAAAGCTTTAAAAAACTGATTTTTTGTGACATGTATTCGAGTAATGGTTTTCTTACAATCATACGTGATCATGCCAGGTGTTGGCTTACGGGAAACTACTAAGGAGGCATGAAAGAGTTCACACTGGGGAAAAGCCTTATGAATGTAAACAGTGTGGCATGTGTTTTAGTATAGCAGTAAACCTAAGGACTCATGAAAGAGTTCACACTGGGGAAAAGCCTTATGAATGTAAACAGTGTGGCAAGTGTTTTAGTCAGGTAGGACACCTAAAGCGTCATGAAAGAGTTCATAGTGGGGAAAAGCCTTATGAATGTAAACAGTGTGGCAAGTGTTTTAGTGTAGTAGGAACCCTAAGGAGGCATGAAAGAGTTCACACTGGGAAAAAGCCGTATGAATGTAAACAGTGTGGCAAGTGTTTTAGTGAAGCGGGACTACTAAGGAGGCATGAAAGAGTTCATAGTGGGGAAAAGCCTTATGAATGTAAACAGTGTGGCAAGTGTTTTAGTGTAGTAGGAACCCTAAGGAGTCATGAAAGAGTTCACACTGGGGAAAAGCCTTATGAATGTAAACAGTGTGGCAAGTGCTTTAGTGTAGTAGGATCCCTAAGGAGGCATGAAAGAGTTCACACTGGGGAAAAGCCTTATGAATGTAAACAGTGTGGCAAGCGTTTTAGCCAAGCAAGAAAACTAAGGAGTCATGAAAGAATTCACACCAGGGAAAAGCCGTGTTTTAGCCGCTCACAGAACCTTAAAGGTCACAAGAAAGTCCACAGTAGAAAGCAGTCGGATAAACTTAATAGTAACGAAAGTTTCTCTAAAGGTTTGCCTTGCGAGGGTAATGTGAGGTTAAGAATTACAAATGCCTTACCTACACAGAGACAGAGAGAGACTGGAGACAATAGGATAGAAGACCAGCGAACAGACGTTATTGAGGAACACTGCAGCTGTTGGATTTGTCAAGAGGAGATGAGTAGTGAAGCTCTTCTTCTTCAACATTATGAAAATCATATGAGATATATAACTGAAGATGGTTCGTAAAGAGGGCTTTAGGCCTTGGGTTACCCTTTGCAGGGTGCAAAGAGAGTCATTTTTAAAGCTTGCCATTCGGGCAAGCTGAAGTTAGCATACACTAGCCCAAACGTCATTTCAGCTAGCCCCAAAACATTTTGATGAGCAGAATTTATTCAAAGTTCCTCTGTAATTTGAATTCCTCAAAAAAGTTAAGAGCAAAATTAACTAGCCCGATAGCAAAATCCACTAACCCTGGGTTATCGGACACTACTTTCTTTGCACGCTGCCTTTTGTTAAGTTTGTTTTTGTAAAGTTTTCTATTTTGAATGCAAGCACGGCTACCGTTTGTTACCTGTGGTCAGTGGGCTTTGTTAAAATTTAATTGTGTTTCCGTTAGACGACTTTATAAAAGAAGTAGACATTGCGATTTTTGACGGTGGACACCAATTCTTGGGCATTCCTGTTGTACTTGTAATTTTAATTGTACAGTCTCCGGTTGTTTAAACGTTGGATGCTACCCATGAGATAGATCACTTTTCATCGGAAAAGTATAACATGGAAATAACCCAATAATTAGTTTATTGTGATATTCCCTGGCAAGGGGTTTATCCAATGAGTTTAAGCAACTAGGGCCCAGTCATTAACATAGATTTGTAACTCTCCAGTTTTATCGACCAGAGGATTGCCAGTCAATCACCTTTCCTAACGAGTGAGAAATATTGAATTTACATGAAATCAAGTCTGTGCGCGCAATATAAGCTTTGCTTTTTCCAAAGAGTTGTGGTTTCTTACACTTGCTTTATGATCTCCGAAGTAGGAGCCCTTTTTCTAATTTTTCGTCAAATGTGATAAACCTTTTAACACGTCAAAAGACTGGTAGTTGCTGTCAAGTATGGCTTAGACCTACACAAAGTTTTATTTGACACTCGTGAACCTTTTGTTTTGTGTTAGGTTACTTGACTTACGTGTACTCAGCCTGAGAATTCAATTAGGAATTTGTCGTTTGTTTTTTCATAAATTATGAATACTTATGCATAAGTGGATTGGATGACAATTGAATAGCCTGCAGTGCGGGCGTTTTCTTCGGGCGCGCGAATTTTTTTTCCTCGTTGAAACTCCCGAAGAGAGGAGGAAATGGAGCGAGTCAAAGGGAGCGGGGAGGGGGCAGAGAGAGAGGAGAGAAGAAGAAGAAGAGTATTTTTCTCCCCTCCTCCCTTTCCTTCTTTAGCCCTCGCACCTACCCAAAGAGGTACTATTTCTACTCTTTCCGATCTCCCTCTGTCATAAAATCAAAGATGGCGGTTACAACAATATTTTTTAAATTTAAATTTTAAATTTTATTATTTTACATTTGCCACACATAATAAATATTACAGAAAGAAAATGAAAAAAAAAAAAAAGATTGCACAATTTATAGGGCAGTGAAAGCTACAAAAAGAGAGTTCAAAATTAAATGTAATATTAAGTGACTTACTTTAGTAATAGATAGAGTGGAGAGGAAGCTCAATAGAAGCCAAATAGCTTGTAGAAAATTTGGGCTCCTCATACTTAATTATGATTTCATGTAAGCTGCCATATCATGGTCAGGCGAGTTTTATTTATAGCTCTCTCGATGAGGTATTTTTTTAGTGAAGTCTTGAAACTAGAGTAACTTGTGAGTTCCGTAAGATTATGGGGAAGGGAGTTCCATAGTTTAGGTCCTAGATGGAGGATTGTGAACTGTTTAGTAATAAGGTCGGTAGTTATTAGCATTTCGAGTATTATATGCGTGTACTTAGCAATTAGTAACAAAGGTGGTGTTAAACGAATGAGGAAGGATGTTATTATGATATGAGTACATAAAACACGCAACAAAGAACGCATTAATGTTAAAAATGTCAAGGATTGTAGGAGTCCGAGTGCAGTATGGGCAAGATATTCAGCTCCACAAATGATTCAGACGATGCGTTTCTGTAGTAGAGAATCCTATTCAAATTGGATGGATACGTTGAACACCATGCAATGTTACAGTAGTTAAGATACGGGTAAACCAATGTATAGTATAAGGATAACAAAGATTTAGAAGAAAGAAAGAAACGAGCTTTGCTTATGATTCCTATAGCCTTTGATACTTTTTTAGCAACGTGAGTTATATGATATTTCCAAGAAAGATGCTGATCTAATAAAACACCAAGAAACTTTGTCACTTCAACCTGTTGCACAGCAATATTATCTATCGTAATAGTATCGCTAACAGTAACGGGTTTTTGCCTGTGTCGAAAAAGAATGTAGTTTGTTTTGGCGACATTGAGTGATAATTTGTTTACTTTAAGCCATTTAGATATTGTTGATAATTCACAATTCATGACACGAATGAGCTGGTTAGGACCTTTATCAGAATAATAAAGGCTAGAATCGTCCGCAAATAAAAAAGTCTTTAACAGATTAGATGCGTTAGAGAGGTCATTAATATAAATAAACAAAAGTGGTCCTAAAATTGATCCTTGGGGAATACCACATACAATTAGTTCCGGTTGAGAACATGCTAAAGTAAACTGAACAAGCTGCTTCCTGTTTGTCAAATAGCTAGAGACCCGATTAAAAGAATGCCCTCCAATACCGTAGTGATCGAGCTTATTGAGCAAAATATGATCATCAATAGTGTCAAAAGCTTTCGACTCTCTATTATTCATGGCAGAAACAATATTATTAACCAACTGAAAAAGAACGTGAACAAGGTTTCGCCCACGCAAAATACGCCTGCACTGCAGGGTAATAATTGAAAGAAACAGTTCTCTTTGGAAAATCACATGGTCTGAAATAAGAAAACAAAACATCCAAGCAAGAACTAAAAAGGTTTATTGATAAGATGAATGGTTTAAGAGACGAGGGCAACGATCAGAGATGACCACGTGATTAGCTTTTTACGCCATGATTTGCGTTACTGGTTTTTCCGATTGCCATTCTGAAAGTGAAGAGGGTGTTTTTCACGTTCATGGAAAAACACTTTTTTACTCACAGATCGTATTACAGCCATTTATTTTGTAAGTCAGCTACTATAAACTGGCAGCACGCTTGGACAAAGCTTTAAAAAACTGATTTTTTGTGACATGTATTCGAGTAATGGTTTTCTTACAATCATACGTGATCATGCCAGGTGTTGGCTTACGGGAAACAGAAATAAAAAGAATATGTCAAATTTCTGGCATAAGAGTGATCGCGGTCGTTTAAGAAATTAGAGTAGCGTCGCTTACGAGAGAGTTTTTGAACAGGAATTCACTACATGTACTAACAAAACGGTTATTTACAAAGTGGCCTCTTACGGGGGTGATTGCTTAGGAGAAGTGGTCGCTATGAGAAAATTGACTGTAGTTTTGAATTCGACCCCCTCAACGTCGAAAATATGGCGGTACTCATGCGCCCTGCTAGGTGGTCAGTCTTACACATGGCAAGGGGAGCAAGAAACACACTCCTAAAATGACTGATTGGTGAAATGATTTGAGCTAATCTCCTACCCAGATCTGGGTTCCTCTCGAGCTTCGCGCAAAATCCCGCGTTCGCCTCGCTTGGCTCGAAATAACCTGATTTTGAAGGCGGAAAATCATTACTATAATAAATTCGCCGCTGTCGAAGAGTTTTGCCGAATTTTCAGTTCTCTGTCCCCGAACGAAAGCGTTATGAAATCCANAACTAAAAAGGTTTATTGATAAGATGAATGGTTTAAGAGACGAGGGCAACGATCAGAGATGACCACGTGATTAGCTTTTTACGCCATGATTTGCGTTACTGGTTTTTCCGATTGCCATTCTGAAAGTGAAGAGGGTGTTTTTCACGTTCATGGAAAAACACTTTTTTACTCACAGATCGTATTACAGCCATTTATTTTGTAAGTCAGCTACTATAAACTGGCAGCACGCTTGGACAAAGCTTTAAAAAACTGATTTTTTGTGACATGTATTCGAGTAATGGTTTTCTTACAATCATACGTGATCATGCCAGGTGTTGGCTTACGGGAAACAGAAATAAAAAGAATATGTCAAATTTCTGGCATAAGAGTGATCGCGGTCGTTTAAGAAATTAGAGTAGCGTCGCTTACGAGAGAGTTTTTGAACAGGAATTCACTACATGTACTAACAAAACGGTTATTTACAAAGTGGCCTCTTACGGGGGTGATTGCTTAGGAGAAGTGGTCGCTATGAGAAAATTGACTGTAGTTTTGAATTCGACCCCCTCAACGTCGAAAATATGGCGGTACTCATGCGCCCTGCTAGGTGGTCAGTCTTACACATGGCAAGGGGAGCAAGAAACACACTCCTAAAATGACTGATTGGTGAAATGATTTGAGCTAATCTCCTACCCAGATCTGGGTTCCTCTCGAGCTTCGCGCAAAATCCCGCGTTCGCCTCGCTTGGCTCGAAATAACCTGATTTTGAAGGCGGAAAATCATTACTATAATAAATTCGCCGCTGTCGAAGAGTTTTGCCGAATTTTCAGTTCTCTGTCCCCGAACGAAAGCGTTATGAAATCCACTACTGCTTGTCTTGCAGCTCTGCAGATTTCTGCAGCGAAAATTTCTCCAAAAAATTGATCGCGAGCGACTGGGGACGATGAAGCTAACACTAGTCCCGGGACTAGTGGCAATGATTGAAAAGTCGCTAACGCAACCGACTCACGTGGATAAAGATCAGCGGGAGATAACAGCAAACCTTATCCCCCTACTGCGTCAAACAGTCTTCGAGGGTCTGATATAACACTTTCCGACCGAAAGGCAAATATTCGTTACACTCAGAAAAGCATTCTCTTACTTGATCGCTTGAACATTTCGTTTCCTCCTCAACCATCTGAATCAAATTTAACATGGGCCAAGGTTTTTGCTTGTCTTAAGCCTGCGTAGCAGGCGCTTGGAAGTAGTAGGCGCAAGAAAGAAAGTGCGCGCGAGAGGGAGACACTGTCTCCCTCTCGTGCGCCCGTTCTTTTCTTGCGCTACTAAACTTCTAAGCGCCTGCTATGCAGGCTAGCTCGTCTTCGTAGCGTTTAACGTGACGCGT